TATATTCCAAATTTATCCATATTTTGTGATATCCATTATATGTATATTACTAAAAGACAAGCATATAAAATCATGATATATTATTATATCTAAAAAACTCGCTGTAAATCTCTAATATCATCTAATATTCAGTCAGTTTTCAGGTATAACCACAATACCATTACTACACCTAAAAATTAATAATTCCATAATAATATCAAATATCTAGTCAGTTTTCAAATTATCTTAAAAAAATTTTACACAATTGTTTGGTTTGAAGAAGTATCCGGACAAGGGTAGTAATACTGTTGTGTTAGGTTGATACAACTCTATATTGTCCTACAGATTCTCTCTCCTCTTTTCCCCCCTTGCAAATATTTATTAAAGAACCATTTTTCCCCCTTCAGAGTCTCTCACGTTTTTGGATTTTACTGATGGCACTTCTGTGATGTCCTTTTTCTTCTACAAGCTTGTAGATAGATGCAAAGGCTTGGTCAGACTCGGCTTCGACATTTTTGGCAAGAATACTTCATAGGTGTGGTGATATTTCCATCAGGAGACACATTATAAATGTCCCCTATAGTCTTTCTTTCTCTTTGTTTTTCTTTTGTTCTTTTTTTAGAAACAGGCTCTGGCCTGTTTTACTAAAGAACAATTTTGCATGACGCACTGTTCACTAGCCTGTCTGGCATGCTTCTAATGATATAGAATCACTTGGGTCAACGGTAGCCAGTGTGTATGTTCTGAGGCATTTTTCACATGTTGTTCCCAATTCAATATTATTAGTAGCATTTCTCTTTTTAAAAAATTAAACTTATTAGAGTGATATTGGTTAATAAAAGTATATGGGATTCTGGTGTACAATTCTCCAGTTCGATATTATGGGCACTGCCGTGATGGACACGGGTTTTGGCCAAACGGTGCAGAACTCTGTCTCAGATCCCCACAGCACTGGGCCGCTGTTGATGAGGATGGCCAAGTCCCTCTTGCCCCGTCTGATAACTCGGAGCGGCTTGTGCCCACAGAACTTACTTTTCACTATTTATTATGAGCTGGAGCCGGGGGGTAACTCCAAGGACTTTTTGTCTTCTTTTCAGCCACCGCCCTTCTTCCTTTGGTGCCGGGCCCCCACCAACCAAACACACCTGGAAGCAGCCAAGGCGGCTGAGGGGCTAGAAAAGGGCCATGGTCTTTCGGGGGAGGGTTGTAGCAGCCACTGCCAATCACTTCCTAGATTCATTATTGCACCAAGGGTTTCAAATGGCGATAGCTAGTTCTAGTAGTTACTTTTAATTATTAACTGGAATATCTGTATGAAGAAAACTTTCATTAACTATTTGGTTACTTTAAGATACAATTTTTTAAAAAATGATACAATTTGTACAGTTAAGGCAGGATAAATATTGAATGGAACATCGTTCACATGCTCAATGATTTAAAATACCTTTATCTTAAAAAATACCTTTATGTGGACTTGAGTCTTTTATAAAAAAAAGCTTTCTATCTGGTTCTACTATTCTTTCTGTCTTTTTCCATACTCATTACACACTGTCTTAATTATTGCTCCTTCATGGTACATTTTGATATTTGTTAAGAGCCTCTCATTCTGCCCCTACACCTAACCACAGTCATACAGCGTATTCAGTTTTCCCTTCACATAAATTTGTTTCCCAGATGAACTTGAGGATCATTCGCCCACTTCCATTTTAAATATTTTTGAATTTTGATGACCAATAACTTTAAAAATATCATTTGACATAAAAGAAAGTTAGGGGAGACTGGAGTCATTTTCCAAAATCAGATGTTTTTCTTTACATATTCTTTGGATTTGAAGTTTTTCTTTTCCTTTTGTTCCTTCATTACCACAGTAATTCATAAGTGTTTGATTTCTATTTAACTTACTCTTTTTAGGATAGCATTTTTTATTAACAAGCAATTTTACTGAATTTCCACAAATGTGATTTAACACTAATCTTGACCTCATTCTTCATTATTTAGAATTAATTTCCTGTCCAAGCAATGCATCTGAATGCAGCCATGACTGTGTTCTGACTTCAGATGGTCCCATATGTTTCTGTCCTGAAGGCTCAGTGCTTGAGCCAGATGGAAAAACATGTAGTGGTAAGTTTATTAACTTTTTGTTTGTTTGAAAATATACATTTTTCTAGGTGACACCTATAATTTGCATCTTATTGGCAAAGAAGAATAGATTTTCCAACATTACGCACTGAAAGATATTTATGCAATGGCTTAGTGTAGATCTAAATGATATTTTTGGTTTTGGTTTTTAGATAGCAGAGTGTAGTGGCTATGAAGGGGTTTGAAATTAGATAGCCCTGAGTTAGCATTACCAGTTACTAGCAGTGCTATTTTGGACTAGTTACTTGCTCTCCCTTGGTCTCAGTTTCCTCATCTGTAGAGGTTAACAATACCTCCCTTCTGGATTTGTAGCCAGGATTAAGCAGATGATGGATGCAAAGTACTTAGCCTGTTCCTTGCACCTATAAATACCTCTCTACGTTTGTCTTCATAGACCTAAGCACATAGAGGGTTGGATGAAACTCAAAATTAGCAGAAGGCTTATGTGTGGCTTTTTTTTTAAAATAAAGAAAACAAAAGCGGTCAAGAGGCCAAAAATGTGAGAGAGAGAAAATGTATTTCTCACTAGGAAGAGTTAGACCAGTTGCCAAACTCATCAAAATGTATTTCAGCCCTGGCCAGTGTGGCTCAGTTGGTTGAGCATCATCCATGCACCAGGAAGTCACAGGTTTGATTTCCAGTCAGGGCAGATGCCCAGGCTTGATCCCCAGTGGGCGCTGCGTGGGAGGCAGCCGATTGATGTTTCTCTCTCATCGATGTTTCTATCACTCTCTTCCTCCCGCTCCTCTCTCTGAAATCAATAAAAACACATTTAAAAAAATGTATTTTGTATTCCACCAACTGCTAATGCACATGGTCTTGAACTCAGTAATAGAACACCAGGACAAGGGCCATTGAGATGTGAAGGGTAAACACTCAAGATGTTAGGTTACAGGAAGTCGAGTATGGTGACATTTTGCTTCTAATCTCTGCAAAATAAACTTGATTGCAGCAGCATAAATGATTGTGGAAATGGTTTTAAAAATCTATATATACCTGGCTCACCTCAATATTTTGATGAAAAATTATTATATTTTTGAATGACAGCATCATTACCAAGCAATTGTCTTTTGTAGGCTGCTCATCACCTGATAATGGTGGATGTAGCCAACTCTGCCTCGCTCACAGCCCAGTATCCTGGGAATGTGGCTGCCTTCCTGGGTATGACCTTCAACTGGACAAAAAAAGCTGTGTAGCTTCAGGTTAGTGCTGTGGGTGTTTGAAAGTGTGTCTCTGCAAAAGTATGTGGAAAAAAAATTTCATTTATAAAGACAGATCATTAAAGGTCTGATCTTTTATTTTTGGAGATGGAAAACAAATTATTATACATGTAAGTAATGTAAGTAATAATCATATAAATAATAATGTTTTTGAGGAATATTTAGAAGTTAATTAGTATTCAGCAAAGATTTGCTATAACATCAAGCGTGGTATTCCAGGATATGTGAAAGTCATGACCAGAATAGATTTAAACACTTTATAGTTAAAAAGAATTGAATAAATATTTGTTGATTGATTTGATTTTTAACTCTCCAATGAATGTAATAATAATAATACTTTGACAAATTCAGGTTTTTTGATGTCAAAATTCAAAATGAAGTTGTATGCTTTGACTATTATTTTATCTGCTAATATTACATCTCTTGTGTCCTTCAACAGCCTTGGAAATCCCAGATTTATACTAAATTGATTTAATCTCTCCTGAGATTCATCATGCTTGCAATCTGGGATTGCCTTAGCCCAATACTCTTAACTTCCCAGGGTCTTTGTTAATCTAGCACAACCTGAGCTCTGAAAATTAACAAGGGTCTTGTTATTAATTCAGATAATCATGCTTCCATTCTAGAAGTGCTTAGGCCAGAGGAGGGTATTTATTCAGATCTGAATTAATACAATATGCTAACTTTAATATGTTTCAGTATGCGTGAGTCAGGGAGATTACAGCACTAACACTTGTACCATTTAGTTATGGTGTTGGTTATTTAATGCCGGCTTTTTCTCTAAGTAATTTGCATTTTAAAAGCAGGCCCCTAGACAGGGACGAATCCAGTGATGAAATTCTGGCAATATGTCACCTCATGGAAAAGCAACTCTTCTTGCCTGTCTTAACCTACACACACTGGTGGGAAGTTAAGAAAACAAGTACTGCAGAAGTTAAGGAAGAGGGCGAAGGAAAGGGAAGAGTCAGAAGTGCCTCTTGGCTTTCAAGGCGTATTTTAAATGGAGCCATATTTGAATTTGGTTATCAGGACCACAGCCGTTTTTGCTGTTTGCCAATTCTCAAGATATTCGACACATGCATTTTGATGGAACTGATTATGGAACCCTACTCAGCCAGCAGATGGGAGCGGTTTTCGCTCTAGATCATGACCCTGTGGAAAATAAGGTAATGTTTTGTCACTTGAACAGGGTGGCTGTGCTTTAAGGACAGAGTAGAGAATTTAATCCTAATAGATGACCTGGGCTACTTGACAATCCTCTTCCAAGTTCAGAATCATTAGGCACAGAAAAATGTAAATATATACATTGAAGCATCATTTGAGAAATGTTAAGGATTTTCTATTATCAGAACCTTGGTTCTTGATGTGATTCAGCTATTTTATTAGAGATAATTGAGCAAGATCTTAAGTTTGGTTTTGTTTCTGGAGCCTACCACAGTGCCATACACATAGGAAAAACCCATAAGTAGGTTTGTGATCATTTGCTGGTAGTGGGAGAAGTGAGAGGTTGGGGTTGTACTTAGGAGGGATGGGTTATTAATTTGCACTTAATCTATGTCATTGAGAGAGGGAATTTACTGACTTATCAACCATGGAAATCAGGAAATGGAAGTTTATGGTTCATGTGGGAACGGTAGTCTAACTCATGAAATTATTTACATAATAATCAATTTTTACATGAAGTTTTTGTATATAACTTAGAATTTCTTTGTTATCAATCTAATCATTTGATCATTTGATCTTTGTTAGTTGTCTTTGTGCTAAGTTAGAATGTGCTTGAAATATGTTACAGTGTCTTTGGGGATTATCACCCATACTTAAAGTTTATATAGTTATTACTCTCCCTCCATAATTATTTAGTTATTATTAGGTTAATTTATAGAATTTTAAACTTTATGCTTTTATTTTTTTCCTGATTTGAAGCAGTCTGATAAATGGCCACAAAAAAAGAGAGAGAGAGAAGCAAATTAATTCCATGTTTAATTGGTATGGATTGATGGCCAAATATAACTACTTTTGCAAGTAAAAGTTTAGTAATTAAACACTAGCAAACAGTTCTTTCTTCTCCCTGAGCTAAATCTATATGACTCCATGGAAGTTATATTAATAGAAAAAAATTAATAGAAAAAATCAGTTCAAGATTCATTTATTACCACACTAGTCTTTTTTTTCCTGCACAGATAGTATTGTTTTACAACTAGATGATTATGGAGACTAGATGAATTTTGTTATGTGGCTCTCTTATTTTTCTGGTCAATGTCCTCATTTTCTTGCTTCTCAAATGGTGGTATCTGGACCATCAGAATTGACATCACCTTGAACTTGTTAGACCTGCACATTCTTTTTTTTAAAAAAAATATATTTTTATTGATTTTTTACAGAGAGGAAGGGAAGGGATAGAGAGTTAGAAACATCAATGAGAGAGAAACACTGATCAGCTGCCTCCTGCACACTCCCCACTGGGTATGTGCCTGCAACCAAGGTACGTACCCTTGACCGGAATCGAATCCGGGACCCTTGAGTCCGCAGGCCGACGCTCTATCCACTGAGCCAAACCAGTGAGGGCAACCTGCACATTCTTGAGCTCCACCTGTGACCACCGAATCACAGTTTGCATTTAAACAAGATACCCAGGGGGTTTGTGTGTCAATTTGAATTTGAGAAGCAGTTCTAGGAGAGTGTTTTTGAATATGAGAAGTACCCATTTTGTATTATGGGATAGAACCTTTTCTATCTTATCTAGAACAGTGGTTCTCAACCTTCCTAATGCCTCAACCCTTTAATATAGTTGTGGTGACCCCCAACCATAAAATTATTTTTGTTGCTACTTCATAACTACAATTTTGCTACTGTTATGAATCATAATGTAATTATCTGATATGCAGGATGTATTTTCATTGTTCGTGACCCACAGGTTGAGAACCACAGGTCTAGAAAGGTGGTAACTTATGATATCTGGAAAGATGATAACCTAATGAATTACCAGTTTTTGAATACTCTCACTATTGATTATAGATTTATGTATATGTGTGTACTCAAGTTAAAATCCCACAAATGCTATCATTAAATTGTAAGCTGACCAATCCCAGTTTTTCACATTCTCATGAACTACTTGTACCTACTTGACAGAGTACTAGACTGAAAAAAAACTTTTTACCTGCAAGAACAGGCCATTTTATGGTCTGTTAGACAATTAAAATGCAATTATATAAGGTAAGAGATGAAAAAACTTTAGCAAATATTTCGTGTAACTTCCTCATTTTTACAGTTGAGAAAACTGAGGTTCAGTGACTTGGCCAAGGTTATCAAACAAACAAGTGGCAAAACTGGGAGCAACCTGTGTCTCCCGACCTGCAGTGAGTGGAGTGCTGTGGACTGTGCAGAAGACACAGCCCAGTGTGCAGTCCCCATTAAACTGAAAATCGTTGCTCCCTCTCAGTCTGCAGAAACGTAGGGTTCAAGTACAGTTTGTTATTGACCAATGATCAAAGATGAATAAATTACCAGTTATAATACGAACTATGTGCCAGGTGCAGGGCTAAAGAGTTTTATGTATAAAACTAATGTACTTGCTCTTATAATCCCCATTTTACCAATGAGGAGACTGGGACTGTGACATTGACTAACTTGCTGAAGTTTACAAGTATCTGGGAAACAGCTCGGTTGAAGTTCAGTTGCAGGTGTGTCTATGTCCAAAGATAAGCTCTCAACAATTCCAGTGTATGATACTCAACCATTTGTATATATTCCACATTTATTTTTTAAAACGAATAAAAATTGTTCACGTTCTCTTTTGCAGGTATACTTTGCCCATACAGTCCTGAAGTGGATAGAGAGAGCCAATATGGATGGTTCCCAGCGAGAAAGGCTCATCGAGGAAGCAATAGATGCTCCCGAAGGTCTTGCTATAGACTGGATTAACCGTAAACTCTATTGGACAGACAGAGGGTATGTTCCCTGTTTAGCCATGTGAGGTAGGAGTCATGGGGTAGGTAGGAAAGCTGCCTTCATCCTCCACTTTGAACATGGGAAAATACGGCTGGGATTGGAAAAGATGTCCCCAATGCTGTCCATATTCCCTCCACCCTTACCCCCACCAGGCAAATGTTCCTCTTTTCATAAGGATTGGATCTGTACCTGTAGGAGAATTTTGAGGGCAAAGAAAGTAGCATGTGTTTTTGCACTTCAGGCTAGAAAAGCAAAACCTGCGTGAATATAGTCAACACGCATTCCTTGAGCATCTGCTGTCGATGGAGCGCTCTCCCACGCGACATGGGAGATACAAAGGAACAAGAGGAGTGCTTCATCCTTTCAGTCAGGTCACAGTTTAGCCAGGAGATAAAGCCCATGCAACAGGAAAAACCAATACAAATGCTTGGTCTACATTTCAGCCCAGGAAATGTCCTAAGGCCGTGCATAAACAATTGCCAAATGAGGGGTGTACACTCCCAGAGGGAGTGCCGGGAGGGGCTTCAGGGACCAACTGGCCCAACCCCTCATTTTACAGATGGGATACTAAGGCTCAGAAAGGCTAAGTTACACAGCACACAAGTGACAACTCTTGGACTAGAATCCACATGCTGGCTCTCTAAGTGACATGAAGGAGGGAGAGAGGAGCTGTGAGGAAAGTCCTCGTGAGATCAGAGAAATGGCCCGTTTTCCCTTTGGTGGAAAGCAACAGAGCCGGAGAGAAGCTGTGGTGTTTCTAGCAGACTGCTCTTGGGGCTACAGAAGGGACTGCTGCACGTGAGTGTGTGTGTGTGTGTGCGTGTGCGTGTGTGTGTGTGTGTGGGGGGGGCTGTGTGAGCCCCAGGAATGGTGGGGGTGGGAGGAGGGTGAGGAAGTGCCTGCATCCCCCATGCGTGGTGTGAGAGCCCACTTCCCTGCTTGGGAGAGGAGGAAGCACCTCACAGGATGGTGTCAGAGATGCTCTGAGCTAGAATGATGCTTTCCCAGAGCCACTTAAAGCCATCGAGTGAAATGGTGGCCAACCTGAACACCTGGTACCTATGCATCGTATTACATTAAAGAGAGGAGAATTAATTAGGGCTTCCCATCTATGAAATCAGCAGTCCTGGCATAACGGGTGGTCCCAGGGAACAGGTCTGTATGCTTGGGGGAGGCTTTCTATGCCCCAGAGCAGCTCTTTGGTCGGATAGCCCATAGGAGACAAAGGCATTTTTAAAAACGAGCCAGATGCTGATGTGATGCAGCACATCTATATCCAGAGTGTGTATATTTTCATTCATTCATTCACGCATTTAACCAGACCTTCCTTCTTTTATTCTTTGGGGTATTTATTAACTGAAAGGTTCCAGATACTGCACTAAGAACTTCATATCCATGATACCCCAAAATTCGTTTTCTGATCCCCAACTTAAAGAGGAGAAAAGTGAGAAGCAACGAGGTAAAATAACTTTACCAAAGTCAAACAGCCCGCGAGTAGCGGAGCTGGATTTTGAACTCAAGGACAGCGACTCCCGAAGCGTATGCTTTTAATGATCACAGATCTGTACTGCCTCCCCCAGTCAGCGCTGATTAATATGTGCTCAAGCCAGAGTCACAAAACACAAGGAAATTAACTTCAGTTGTCATCATGATAAAAATCACCATAACGGCCTCCTCTGTGGTGAACCTACTTAAAAGGACCTTTAAAATGTCAGCTGTGCCTAATGACAGAGCTTGTACACGGCTCTTCTCAGAAGAGTAAACGTTGATCAGGACAGCAGATGTCAGCGCTGTCGACCCCTGCGAGGCTGCCAGGTCTCCTCATCTTTCCCGCCTTTGCCCGGCCCCTCTAATTTGAACCGTGTTTGATTAATAGCAGCAGGGGACCCACGGCGGAAGCGATGCCTTCAGACACAGACAGGCACCGTAGCCTGAGACGCAGGCCTCAGATTCCCTAGTTCGCTGGCTTCGGTAATAACAAGCCCTTCTTAAGCCCTCTTTCCTCTAAAGGCAGCTGCTAAAAGAAAACCTTTAATTTGTCTGGAAATGAAAGGTTTATAGTTTGAAAACCTTGATATTAGCTAGAAATTGGATTTAAATAGCTGAGATTCCAAGCTTGTGATATTAGATTATATGGTAACTCTGAACCAGTAGAAGAACCAGGTGGGTGCCCCTAGTTTAGGTTGGCTTACGAAAAGACAGATTCAGATGAACATCTAACAGTAGGAAGGAAGCTAATTGATAATTTCACTGACAGTGCTGTTATTTGGTACTAAGGAATCCGGAGTCCTAAAGTCAATCGCCCAGTAAAAAAGAATCAAGAGGGTGAAAATATACATCTTTTGCTCATTCTTTTGAGATCAAAACTACCATGAGGCAAAAAAAAAATCACTTTTCTAAGGTTCTAGATCAGTGATGGCGAACCTATGACATGCGTGTCAGAGGTGACACGCACTCATGTTTTGGTTGATTTTTCTTTGTTAAATGGCATTTAAATATATAAAATAAATATCAAAATATAAGTCTTTGTTTTACTATGGTTGCAAATATCAAAAAATTTCTATATGTGACACGGCACCCGAGTTAAGTTAGGGTTTTTCAAAATGCTGACACGCCGAGCTCAAAAGGTTCGCCATCACTGTTCTAGATGAACTCTTGCCGTGGAAGGAGTGTGGATCTTAGGGGACCCCAGTGACAATGGGACTGGTTTGGTGTGGATACAAAAGGAAAGATGTTCCACTAGATTCAGGGTTATGCCTGAGCTCAGGTGAGCTCAGTGTCCGTGTTCGTTCAGCTTTCTCGTTGTCTACACTGGAGTTGGGGATTTGCTTTCTGGTCTAATCAAGTAGTAGTGTATTATTGAGTTCACCCCTCAGGAAGCTTTGAGAGGAATTCCAGCTCTCCTGCCTGAGATAGCTCCGGAGTCAGGGTTTCTGATGGTCTCGATTCTCATCCCCTCACTCCTGCTCAAAACAGTCAGAATCTAGAGGTGATGCAACAATGAGAGCAGAACTCACAGTCAGAGCGTCTTTAGAATTCCTTCCTTCCCGGCCAGGGGACAGCACAGTGACAGTGTGGCTGAGTGACTTGGACACATGGAGCTAGAAAATACCTGCCGCCCTGCAATCCCCTTCATCTGGGAGTAAAATTATTTTTTAAAAAACTGATTTCAGAGAGGAAGGGGAAGGAAGAGAGAGATAGAAGCATCAACGATGAGAGAGAATCATTGATTGGCTGCCTCCTGCACACCCTACACTGGGGATCGAGCCCACAACCAGCACATGTGGGCTTATTCCCCGGCAACAGCTATATATTATCAAACATACTTTCTGATTTGCAGTAGGGAAACAGGGCCGGCAGGCAGCACACCTGAACAAGGTGGTAGGTCCTTACAGATGTTTGTTGAATGTGTTAAAAGATAGTTATACTGCCCTGACTGGTTTGGCTCAATGGATACAACGTTGGCCTTTGGACTCAAGGGTCCTGGGTTCGATTCTGGTCAAGGGCATGTACCTTGGTTGCAGGCACATACCCAGTGGGGGGGGGGGAGGTGTGCAGGAGGCAGCTGATCGATGTTTCTCTCTCATCAATGTTTCTAACTCTCTCTCCCTCTCCCTTCCTCTCTGTAAAAAATCAATTAAAGAAAAGAAGATATACTCCCTGGTTTTGGTAGGGAAACAGGACAAGTGCCCCTTGTGGGAAAGGGGTGCTCCTCTCCCCCCTTCTGCCTGTGGTCTGTCTGCTCCAGAAGCTGCTCGGAAGCCCAGGTTACCACCAGACCAGTGACAGGTGGGGGTTTTACCGAGTAGGTTTTAGCATTTGATTCCATCCCCCTTTCTCCATCCTGCTGCCACTGCCCCAGCTCCGTCACCATTCTCTCTTGTCCACCTTGTCCTCTCCATACTTAAGCCACAGCATGAGGACTGTTCCCACGCTTCAGGTCTCCCAGACTTGGCACTCACTTCTGCTTAGGCTGTTCTTTTTAAAAAAATTTGTTTTTATTGATTTCAGAGAGGAAGGGAGAGGGAGAGAGAGTTAGAAACATTGGTGATGAGAGAGAACCACTGATCGGCTGCCTCCTACACCCCCACTACCGGGATGGAGCCCAGAACCCAGGATGCCCTGACCGAGAATTGAACCATGACCTCCTGGTTCCATAGGTCATGGCTCAACCACTGAGCCCCGCCTGCCAGGGCAGGGTGTTCTCTGCCTGTCCACTCCCCTCCCCTCTCCCTCCCAGCCCTGGCTCTCCCACTGAACTCTACACTCTGTAAGGATAGAGACAGGCTGCTGTGTCTCCAGTGTTTAGGCCAATTCCTGACGTGTACAGTAGGTGCTTGCTCAGTAACTGTCTGTTTGATAACCAAGGTTTGTTTGACAAATAAATGGAAACACTAGGAAACAAACAATTTCTTCTCTGCCAGATTCCAGAGAGCTATTTATTAAGTATAAAGTTTAGCAAATAATAATCATTTAATGCTCTCATTTGTCTAAATATCATGTGGAAGAAAATAAAAGTCAACATAAATTTCCCTTGCTGTCCTTGTGCGGCTGTCTCGGGCCCTCAGAGCTTTCCTCTCCTCCTTCCCGGGATCTGTGACCATGAGGCCACCCCTTCTACTGGCTTCCATTGGTTCCTGGGGTGATGGGAGGCTGTGAAGAGAACGGGATGGTGGGATTTGCACTACAGGCTGTGTCCCTGCCAGGCCACTGACACAATTCCCTCTTACCTTATCCTTTCACTGTGTAATTTAACTGCCTGGGATAAATATTGGCATGCTAATGAAAAGACTACAAAAATAGAATTTGTGGGCATTTGGTCCTGATGTGTGTGTGTGTGTGTGTGTGTGTGTGTGTGCGCGCACACACATGCTCAGAGGGAGTAGCTTAGAATGTCGGTCTTTGCATTTAGTAAACAACAGTGAAAAGGAGTATTTTTGTTGAAAAAGTAAATGTAATGTAACAGCCCCTTAATGTGACATGCATTTTAGGAAATCTGTCATTGAAGGCAGTGATTTAAGTGGAAAACATCGTGAAATACTCATTAAGGAGGATGTCTTTCAGCCTCGAGGAATCGCTGTTCATCCCATGGCCAAGTAGGTCCTTGTGAAATTCGGGTGCCTTTCTGAGAGGTCATGTTTGAAATGAAATGCTAATGTCCAAAATCTGTCCTCAAACCTCAGTGGGTCAAGGGAATTGAAAACCAAGAAAATCCACTAGATTTGGCAACATCTTCAGATATGATGTGGCTACCATGATATCCTCATTTTTAAGTCTTTTCATTTTCTATTTTTATATAAATATTTTATTCTCTAGATATCCTTTCATTTTAATCAAATTCAATTTCTTTTTAAAAGAAATGGGCTGTAATTTAGTAATCAATCAGAGATAAGCCCATTAAACTGCTTTCTTTAAAAGGTTACATTATTATTTTCTTGAACAGAGGATGATGTTTAGATTGTATGACTTATTAATTCTATTTAGAAAAATCGTAAGATGAGTTCAAATGATGGGTCACTTCTAGATTTAGACAAAAGGAAATAGAAATCATGAAAGATTAGAAGATTCTATGTTGTTAATTATGAATTAGCGACAAATATTGGTTTCAGTTCAGAGAAATAAGGAGAATCACCAATTCCTCCCTAGATTTTCAAAAACAAGGATAAAAAACAGCTCTTTTATTTATGATGGTCTATGGGAAAGATAACAATGGTAATAATTGATCATTGATTTGGAGCCAGCCACATGAATAAAAGAGTGACAATATATCCATCTCTAAACAGGCCAGAGAAAAGATATGGACCTCAAAAAATGTCCTTCAGCAGTTATAGAATGTGATATACAGAACTTAAATTAACAAGGTTAACCGAGTACATTGTGTAAAACTGGATAGTAGATAAATATGCTCTTCTCTTCATGCTGTAATTTTACATGTACAGTGAGTTTATATCTGCATAGAAGGACAAGCTAGCAAGATTTCATGCCATTTGTACCATGAAATGCTAATTTAAAAAATGCACTTGAACACACTTTCAATTAGTAATATTCTGCAATTTTTTAAAATTAATAATTCTTTTTTTATCTAATGACCTGAGCCTTAATTCAACATTTTCTGTCCAAGATGATCTACATAGAAAAGATTAAGGTTTTGCTTTTGAAAAAATGATTCATCCAACATAGTGCTATACTTGCTTCTTCTATAGTCCTTAGTTTATTCTAAAGTAGTCAATTTGATGTTCCCAATGATGAAAGAATAGGAGGATTTTTTGTGCAAATTTTATTTATTGTATGCTTTCTTGATTAAAGGAGATTATTCTGGACTGACATGGGGATTAATCCACGAATTGAGAGTTCTTCTCTTCAAGGCGACGGCCGGCTGGTTATCGCTAGCTCTGAGCTGGTCTGGCCCAGTGGAATAACGATCGATTTCTTAACTGACACGTTGTATTGGTGCGATGCCAAGCAGTCTGTGATTGAAATGGCCAATCTGGATGGTTCAAACCGCCAAAGACTTGCCCAGAACGATGTAGGTGAGGCTTTGGGATGGGTGATTTCTTCATCTTGACTGAGAACTGATGAGTGTTAAATACAAAATGTGTTTATACACACATGCACGTGCATACACCACATTTTAAACCATCTGATGAGAAAGAAATAGAGACAGGCTGACAGACTTCTCTGGGGATTACCTGAACATTGGAATATTGAATAAAAAGTGATGTGCAGTCATTTCTCTTTGCCAAGATTTCCAAAAATCAGAAGGAAAACTTTAAAAAATTTAGAACTTCTTTAAGAATAAGAACTTGATTCAGCTGTTATCATTTCTTTTGTTTTAGAAAATGTCATTTTCGGCACAGAGATAATATCCTCTTCAGAGATTAATGAATATCTATTGATAACCTGTGCAAAGGCTAATATAGCTTTGCCCCTTATTATAGTTTCAGACCTTACATGGGTTATCATGTATTTTCTTAAACATCCTTAAAACACTGTAGTTATGATAACTGTTAAAGGAGAAGTACAAATGGTTATGAGTTTCCCAGAGAGATTCATTTACTAGTAGACTCAGGGGAGACAGCATTTGAAGCAGGCCATGTGGGAAATAGATGATGATAAAACTTGATCATTTGAAATAAAGCTGCAGAAATTATTTTTTGTATGTCAGTATTGCCAAGATATGTTGATGAACTTAATTCTGAATGTACTAGGGAGCCATTGCATGTTCTTGAGCATTGGTTTTTGAATATGAGATTAGTATTTCAGGATAACCACTTAAGTAACAGAATAAGAGTTGGAAATTTGGAAAGAAGGAAATCAGTCAGGAGACTACAAAAGTTGTCCAAAAAACAGCTAATGAAGGCCTGAGCTAGAATATTTCCATAATAACAGAAAAATGGAGGACCATTGAAAAATCACTGTAAAGAAAAAAATTGAGATTTACTAACAGATTGGATACAGAAATGAGGGTCAGAGGGATGCTAAAGGTGCTTCAGAGGTTTACAAAATGGTTGGTTGGAAGATGAAAACACATGGCTTCTTTTTTAAGGAATAAGCTAACAAACTAATAATCTGTATAAGTTATTTATTTTGCCCATTCTCTTTAGTTTTAGAGGTCATGAATTTCTAGATTAGTATTATATGTTACATATATTAAGATAACTAAAACTGTAAATGTTACATACTTCTATGTTTCTTTAAAAATTAGAGATGCTTCACATAAATGATAAGCTTGTGCACAATTATAGACTTTATTCATCCATGCGCTTAACAGATATTTATTGAAACAGATATACAGTGGAGATTTAAACAAACATTGTTCCTGTGAAGTCATGGGTCTAGAGGTGAAGACTTATTTTAAAAATGCATCTCCCAAATAAATGTGAAATTTTAGCTTTGATATATGAGGGTATTAAGGGATTTGAAAATTCCTCACCAGACTATAAAGAATCAAGGTTCTAAACCAAAAATCATAGCAGAAATTTAAAAAAATAATTTGTATTTTTACTCTAATCTGTGACTAATGCCACTCCCTATTAAAGGCCATTATCAAATAACTGGACATTAAATGTCTAAATAACTGTTCCCATCACTACAGTGCCATCTACAGGTATGTAAGTGGTGGCTTCTCAACTGTCAGTTCAGGATTTTTTTTCTTTAATTGAATTTATTGGGGTGACATTGATTCACAAAACCATACAGATTTCAGGTGTACAATTCAACAAAACATCCTCAGCACGATGCATTGTGTGCCGAAGCAGCAGGGGCTGTGAGGGCGAACCCCTTGCACAAATTTTGTGCATCGGGCCTCTAGTTACTAAATAATAATACAAGAATAAACTCTGTGTTTTGCATACTCATAACTGTAAGCCTACATTTGCACCATTCTGTATGCCAATGAGCCCTTATTCTCCAGTTCTCCAAATGCTGGGTGACCATGGGCTTTGCTAGGACTTCATACCACCAGGCTCCCATTTGAAGATGAGGTAGGGATAAGTGTAGGAATCGTGTGTGTGTTTCAAGCCTTATTCTTTTAAAAATATTCATGGCAAAGACAAGACGTATGTAATGCACTGGGACTGCTTCCAGGTCACCCGTTTGCTGTGGCTGTGTTTGAGGATCACGTGTGGCTCTCCGACTGGACCATGCCATCGGTAATAAGGGTGCACAAGAGGACTGGCAAAAACAGGGTACGTCTCCGAGGCAGCATGCTGAAGCCCTCATCACTGGTTGTAGTTCATCCATTGGCAAAACCAGGTACACTGGACATGTTACACAGTCTTTCTTTGGCTGGAATCTGCAACTATTTTAATTGTTCGATGGCAGGGGAGGAGGGGCGATGTTGCAATTCTCACTAATCCAGGTCGATGTTAAGATTTCCCGAGATTTGGATTTTGTCTAAAGTAAGACAGCCTGGGAGTGAATTTGGGCTTTATTCTTTCAATCCCATTTCCCCCCCTACTAGACAGCTTTTATCTATCTCGTCTTTTTAAAAGATTCTTGGGTTAAAGGCACTGAGGATGAGGGTGGGAGAGGGACAGTTTAACCACCTGCAGGGGAAGCTTCTGTCTACATTGGGGCCTTTCTCCACGCCCTGAGCGTGCCAGGGAGTGAGCAGATAGAAAAGGCACCTAGTGCCCTACAGCAACTCTTCTTTCTGAGCTGCCCTGTGTCCGTTTGCCTGGGTCATGGGACAATAGGAAATAGGAATATCCTCTTTCTAAAGAGCTTCTCAGACAACAGTATTGGTTATCCTCCATAAGTAACTCATAAGGTAATAACATTTTGAGCTAAACTGGGCTCCTTACAGGAGCGCTTCTGAAATAGCCCTTGCTACAGGCTCCACTTAGAGACACCGAGTTTCTCTCCCCCTGAACTGTACACAGTGATTTGTATCAATGAGCACTTTTGATCTCCAAGCCCATCGGTGAATGCAGCTCTTTCCCCCACTAGGAGCGGATCCCTGCTTATTCCAAAATGGAGGCTGTGAACATATTTGCAAAGAGAAGTTTGGAATTGCTCGGTGTTCATGTCGTGAAGGTTTTGTGAAAGCCCCAGGTGGGAAGAAGTGTCTGGTTCTAAATGTTCATCAGATATCGGCAGGTAATGTAATCAATTATGTGCTAAATCTCCTACCTTGGCTCAGGGATACAGTTTCTTCATACAGCACATGAAGAAAACCCTATGCTTTTGCTGAGTTTTAATATGTTGTATAATTAGAAGCCCTCCCTGCTTTCAGGGAGGCCAAGTGTTTTTTTGTTTTTTGTTTTTCTTCCTCTGATGAGTCTGGGCTTCTTATTAAAGACTAAATTGAATTGATCTCCTCTTGTTGTAAACTTAGTGAACAAAAGAAAATATTCAAAGTCCAATCCTCCAATCCCCTCTTTATGGTGGAGTAGCCCAAGTTTAGGAATAAATGCCAGTATTTTACCACCTCAATTAATGTTCAGAGATATTTTGTTTAGAAGTTTTATGGCCTCAATGTTGGAGGTGGTCATATACAACACCCCTGCCACGCGATTGGTGTTAAGATAGAAGTCAAAGTCTTTTCTAATAAATAATATTTCCTCAAGCAAGCATGAGGAATCCAACCTGAGAAGGCTGTGATCACGTTTTTAAAAACTAACTATGACTTTGAGGAAGAGGAAGAGCAAGTCCAGTGTGATGTGTCAGTAGTCCTGACTTCCTTTTCTTGACTGTACCCCTAAGCAATTTTGGTATATTTGGATATATCTCTTGATATCTTTGTACTAAAGAGAATTTACCTTTTATTTAAAATATATATATTTTTTAAATGTGTATTCATCTAATAGGCATGGTGTAAGGTAAATGACAGATTGACAGCAAATAAATGGATCAATCTATCCATGAACTAGAATTAGATATTTTGGATTTTCAGGACTTTCTATTCATTGTTGTCTTAGGATAACAGTTCTCAATATTTTTAGTTTCAAGTGTCCTTTACATTCTTAAAAATAATTGAGAACCATAAAGAGTTTTTGTTTACGTAAGTTATATCTATCCATATTTATATTAGAAATTAAAACTAAAAGATTCTAAAAATATTTATATTAAAATTATACTAATACTCCGTTATATATGAACATAACATAATTTAAGAAAATAAATGAATTATTATATATTTTTTATTATTATATAAAATTAATATATAGAGGAAAGGAGAGGGAGAGGGAGATAGAGATATCAATGATGAGAGAGAATCATTGATTGGCTACCTCCTGCATGCCCCCAACTGGAGACTGAGCCTGCAATCCAGGCATGTGCCCTGATAGGGAATCAAACTGTGACTTCCTGGTTCATAAGTCAGCACTCAACCACTGATCCACACCAGCTGAGCTGAAATAATTATATTTTTCCAAACAAAAACATGTAGTAAGAAGAATGGCATTGGTTTTCCTTTATATCTTTAATATCTGATTTAGTGGAGGGCAGCTGGATTCTCATATCTGCTTATAGGTTAAATTTGTTACTGTGTTGTTTTGGTTGAAGAACATGAAGAAAATTTTGTCTCACAGAGACATAGGGTTAGAAAAGGGGGAATACCTTTTCTAAGATACCTTTTTTTGTATATTTTATTTGATACTATGTCAGAACTATACAGTTGGTAGTTTCTTAGAGTTTAGTTGCAATGTGGAATCTGAAACCATATCAATGAACTTTTTTGCCTTCTGACATATTAAAATCCAGGGGTCTATTTTGTGCTTTGAGTGGCTCTATTTTACCTTGCATGGTTTATTAGCATCATCTTTTGGTCATTTGAAAATATGGTTGAGTTATGCAGGTCTTCCAATTGTCACATTAATATACAGAAATCACATTAATTTATTATTATCTTCTAACTCATCAGAAAAGTCTTTGAGTATCGAGATTTTTGTCAAGCTCATGGTAGATGAAAACATTTTCTATAATTCTACTTTTCACTTGAAAGCTCAAATTTTATTATTGGCAACAAGTGCTGTGAGTTGTTCCCCTTGAAGTGGCAGGCTCACTTCATTCATTTCTCAAAAAACGCTTGCCAAACCTTTAAGTGTTAATAACATAGTTTATCAGTCATTCTTTTGAGTGAAAGTTATGCTCAGTGAAAAAAGAGGCTAGTTTCAACTTGCAACTCAAAGAACATACAAGTGATTTTCCTTCAGACAACCATCATAATTCAGTATTTTCACAGATAACAGAGTGTTTTATGTGTACTTTCCATTTTATTATACAGAATATCAAAGAGCCAAATATTCCATGCTTGAGATGTTTAAAAATTAATCATTCTTACTCTTTATCATAGATCTTCTTAAGTGAAAGTGAAATGTATGCGCGAGCACGTGTGTGTGTGTGTGTGTGTGTGTGTGTGTGTGTGAGTGTATGTGGCAGTGAAGAATATGAGCACTAGTAGAGTTTGATGCCATGGCCTTGATTCATGCTAAGGCACTGAACTCCACCCATCATTACTTTTGCCCATCAGTATCAATGTAGACGCAGTGAAAAAAGACAAAAAACATCAATGTTATTTGCCTTTTATAAAAAAAAAATAGCTTGACCTTATAGACTCCATGCAATGGAACCTCAGGGATCCATGCACCATACTTAGAGAGAGTATTTGGTGTTTTAGGGAATCTAATTTTTCCATGTCTCGGAGGTTGTATAGGTCCTATGCCTATATTAAATTATGGCTTATTTATGCTCCTCCACATTTTTAAATAAAAAATCAGGCAAAAGTAAGTCTTGAAACAGCCTAAAGGAGGAGTGCATATGGAAGTCAGGTTGGGGAGATCAGACCGCTAATTTTCCCTTGTAATGACAGTCTATGATTATGGGCTGAGTATATTTATAAGGATTGTAGTATTTCACTCTTATTGTTTTTTTGCCAATACCTAAAAATGTCCTGTCTTTCACCCCCACTGCCTCCCCCTCAACCATCAGTTGCACGGAGTAAAGCTGGGATGGTGTGGTATAGCCGGTGAGGTTTTCTAAGTCACCAAGACCCTGATAGTTTCCTTGAATGCTCTTACTGTAAGAATGAATCTGAATTCACACCCAAAAAAGAGCCATAAATATAAATTAAATACAACATTTTTTGAATCATAAAAGATAAACTAATTATATCTGTTGACCTTCAATAGGTAGCAACGCAGATCTAAGTAATCAAGTAATGCCATCAGGCATCTTATCCAGCAGTCGAGGATCTGAAGATAACATTACAGACTCTCAACATATGCTGGTGGCTGAAATCATGGTGTCAGGTATGAATAATAAATCCTCCAGTACAGCTTTGGTCCCAACAATTTCCATCCTACCAATTAAAATTCTGAATTATCCTCTAACTTAATGTTGGCTAAATCTACACAAAACTAGTGAAGCCCAACTTTGGATTCCAACTTTGGAACTTCTCTTCCAACCATGTGCTGGAGGAAGATGGCCCCCTATTAGACTGGATATGAACTTTATTCATTGAGACTCTGCACTGAACCTTCTTGGGAGAAATCTAACGTGGAAACAAGGGTGAAAAATAAGACAGAACCGATTTGAGTGTATCCCCCACACCTTGTAGTTTTGATATTTGGCCCATCTAGCTGTACTTCCATTAGTGTGAAAGTAGATAGTAATTGATAAGAAAATAAAGGTCATTTGCTTCAGCTGCTCCAGAAAGTCCACAAATAGCAACTGTTAGAATTTTCCTTCTATATGTCACATTTATCACCAAATTGCTAAGTTATTTGTTCAGTATTTAACAACTTTAGGGAACATAATTCTTTTATATTCTGCATTCACTCATGAGACCGGTGGTTTTCAAATTGGATTTAGCTCAGCCCTAGGTCTTCTGCAGACCCCACACCTTCTCAGTCTAGGTCTCTGCTCTTCAATCAGTGCAGCTGAGTAAGATTTAACAGTGTCTGTGACTTAAAATATGTTTGGAAACTCCACAGTAGGACATTACACTTAACAAAGTGCTCGCCCAACTTTTATGATCTGCAGACTAATTTGTTAATGTATAAGTCTTATCCCTCTTCATAAGAACTTATCAGTGTGATTTTTTAATACAATACAAAGAGGTGGATATTTTTAGCAATGATAATTTATATGGAGCTTTAGAGTTTACCAGGCACTTTATCCTCCAATTTGATACTTACCACAGCACATCATCTTACAGATATAAAAACTGAGACTAAGATATATGAAGTTAGTGACTTGACCAAAGATTTTAAAAAATTATGACCAAATAATTCATGTCAAGAAAGTGAGAACTGGAAAACATTGTCGCATTAGGAATATTATTCATTTAATAACTATTTATTTGTCACACATCATGCTAAGTGCTGGCTGCCATGATGAGATAAATATAGTCTCCAAGATCATGGTCTGATGTGGAGACAAGCAATGTGATGGAATAAAACAATATAAATATGAACAGTATAGAGAAACTTTCAAAGTCACTTGGGATCCATAGAGGTTCATAGAATATATTTTGAAAGACTAATGTTTGGGGGACTTAAAGATCAAGATAAATGACAGTAATTTAGGCACATGGGTTGAAATGGAAGAGTGATGAAATGGCCAAATATTTGGAATGTATATATCATAGGCTGTGTTTGGCTCTCATCTGGAGACATACTGTGCCTTGTGTAGACTAGATGGAATTGATTGTCTTGGTTAAAATGACCTAATCTTTTCATACTTGGATTGTGTTCTATTTTTGTCTTTGCTTATAAAATTGTAGTTCTACCTGTGTTAAGCTAAGGGGTCTTATTTATGAGTGAGATTTCATTTCAAAAAAGTATCTATACTAAAAAGAGCTTGAAAACTCTATGTTGGATTAGGTCAATATATTTTCATTCCCCAAAGACACGAATTGATTTGTAGCCAGTTGATCTGTGTATAATATGACAAAGAGACTCAATCATAAAAATTTCATTGTCAAATCTACTAAAATTATGAATGATTCTAGTTCATGAATAAAATTTAAAATTCGTAATGTGGCCTGTTGGGCCCTTAGATAAACTAGCCCTTACACGCTTCACCAACCAAGATGTGTGCCCTTCTGTCCTCGGCTTTCTGTGACCTGCTTCAGTTACCCTGGTCTTACCGGTAGCATGCATGTGCTGTGTTCTTGGCCCACGGTGCTCTTTCTAATCCTTCCAAGTCCTGCAAATCCTTCAGACCTCAGCTTTTTTAAAAAATGTATTCATTTTTAAATTTTTTTTTATTGATTTCAGAGAGGAAAGGAGAGGGAGAGAGAGATAGAAACATCAATGATGAGAGAGAATCATTGATTGGCTGCCTCCTGCATGCCCCACACTGGTAATCAAACCCACAACCCAGGCATGTGCCCTAACTGGGAGTTGAACTGGGACCTCTTGGCTCAACCACTGAGTCATGCTGGCCCGGCCAGACCTCAGCTTTATGTGCCCTTGCTCAGTAAGCCTTTCCTAGTCTCCTGATCCAGGTGAGCCACTTCAGTTCTCTTAGAACTAGGGATTATTTTATGAAGAGTGCTTACCTTACCTGTACTTAAATAATTTATACTAATAATAGAGGAATATGCAAATTGGTTGGGATGCCTTCACATAACGACCAATCAGGGCAGGGGCAGGGCTGCGGCGGAGACCTCTTCTCAGGCCTGCGCTGGGGTCCGCAGGGCGTGGAGAGGAAGGGAGTGCAGATAGGCAGTTAGGGGGATCAGGCCAGGAGAGGAGAGAAGATAGGCAGTTAGGGTAATCAGGGCAGCAGGGGAGAGCAGTTAGGGGAATCAAGTTGGTAGGGGAGAGCAGTTAGGCAGCTAGGGGGATCAGGCCAGAGGGGAGAGCAGTTAGGGGGATCAGGCTGGCAGGGGAGCAGTTAGGGGCCTCAGGCAGGCAGGCAGGTGCGTGGTTAGGAGCCAGTGGTTCTGGATTGTGATTTTGTGCACTGGGCCTCTAGTTAATTATATAAGAAAGCAGAGTCCTTGTCTATATTCCCCACCACTGTATTTTTGGCTCTCATAGGATCCGGTATGCATTAGGTGCTTTTGAATGAAATTATTAATTTTACCAACAGGCCCCAGAATCTTCTCTAGTGTGATAAGGCAAATTGTGATTCAGGCTGTCACAGCATGCTTCTTCCTTATCATCCTTATTTAGATATGTATAATATTATATAATTCTCAAAGGAGTTTTAAAGATCACTTTTTCTCCAAGTACATTTAACAATCATGTAAAGTAGATGGGACAGAAATTGTCACTTGTATTTTAGAGAAGAGGATTGCAAAGCCCAGGCATTCTTCTTTCCAGAGCTAGTTTATGGTAGAAAGAACGTTGGCTATAGCCCATCCTTCCCACAATTGCACATCCATTGCTTTTTATTGTGCAAAGCAACCTTAGGGTTTGCAAGTTACGAAATAAATCCTGAATCAGATTCTAATTTAAGATAATTGTGCAAGTGATTTAAAATGTCTTGAGTAATTGAATACTGTCCACCACACACTCTGAACAGCCTTGTGATTTGGAAGCTAGTCCTCCAGATAAATGGCGAATCAAATGGGTAATTGATTTAGTCTGAAGTTATCCATCTTTAAGAGTCAGGAGTGACACATTACCAGGCAAGCCTGAAAGGTATGTTTTCCCACAAGAGAAATCTTACTGAAATAGCTAAGCAACTCAAACACAATTACCCAAGTCTGCGTTCACAGGGCATCAAATCCTACTTTGATCATTTAACTTTCTTTAAATTTATGGGCACGTTTGACCTCTTCTATACTCAGATGAGCAAACTTACTCGTGAATAGACAGATGACAGTTTATATCCTACTGTGGTATGTCAGATCCCCCCAACTCCAAAAGGGAGGAGGCATTTGGAGAGTGATTATATAGTAGTTAAAGGGCAGGGGGGTAGGGGGGGACTTGCTCATGTTTATGGCTCAGCATGCAACTCTGTCCCCTGGGGCATTTGCATTTAATGGAGTATGAAATGAAATGATCCATTTACAGCATTTAGTTTATATGGTTCATGACTTTGTAAAAGTGCCTTGAGGTTTGCAAGTCTCTGCATAAATCTTGATAATAAACATACATATTCTGTTATATATGAAATGTAATTTTAGTAAATCAACACTAAATCTTTATGATTGAATCTCTTTGCCATGTCAGTACACAGAGCTACTTGCTATATATTACACTGTGTGTCTTTGAGGGATAAGAACATATTGACCTCTTTTGTATGTCATTATGGTTGGGAATTCTCAAATAAGCTACAAACCTTCTGAAACTTGAGTCCATTTACTCCTAGAAATGTTATAATTCAAATTTTAAATGCTTTTAAAAATTGTAAATAAGTTCATGCAGGGCTGTTTGAACACCAAACAGTTCTTTAGGACTAAAGATTTGTTGAGAGCATGTAAATGAGAACATATGGCGTGTGAGCCCTTTAAGGTGGATATAACTTCCAGGTCAGCAGTGTTTCTATTTGGAGAATAACCTATCCCAGAACTTGGAAAAGGGCACACTGGCATGTTCAGTAGAACCCAGAACATGAAAGCCCATTGTCACCTCTGAGGTATGGAAATAATCCGATGGGATTCTCGCTCTCTGCAGATGAAGATGACTGTAGTCCCGTGAGATGTGGTCCACACTCTCAGTGCGTCTCAGAGGGAGAGGTTGCCACGTGTCAGTGTTTGAGAGGATTTGCTGGGGATGGAAAAGTATGTTCTGGTAAGAGTGAAGGTCAATGTACATAACTGTGGAAAATAGTGAACCAGAAACATTCTCTCAGATCAAATGGGTTCAAAAATCTCCTGAAGGACTTATGTGATCAACATAATGAATAAATTATTTGGTATTAGCTAAAAAGATAATGGGTTTGCCCTCAGGGGTGGGAGCGGTGGTGGGGGGGAGGAGACATATGTAATAGTTTAACCACCAACAACAAAAAAGATAATGGGTGGCATGTATAGTATTATGAAACATAGTATGTTGTTATATTACATTGAGTTTATGTTAAAATTACATTATATATGGAGTTGACATTAAGAAGAATTTATAATTAGTTCAGAAGTATGAATTTGAGTTCAAGTCAAATTTATAAAACCAACAATTGCAATAAAAACACAGCCTTTTTTCCTCCAAAAGCTTAGGTCATATGTTTTAATTTAATAAATAGACTGTGATGAATCGGCTTCTATTTTACATTGATTGCCTCAAAATTATTAAGTTAGCGATTACTGTAAACACTCTCAGTCCCTACGGCCTGAAACTCTGGCACCAAGTGACTTACTTACACATATGTAGCTAGTCTGACATGTGAGGGATCTGTAAAAATCGACTGGGACATGAGCTTTCTGGGTTTGCATTGCATTTGCAGTCTCTGTAAACAACTGAAAGATCATATTTAAGATTATACTTATTCTTTCCTCGTATCCTCATTTAACCTAGAAAGGCCTGTGTGTTTCATTAGTTCATCATTTGCCCACAGATATGGATGAATGTGAGATGGGAAAGCCATCAAAATATTATAAAAAATAATAGTGCTCCATTTCTTGAGCCATCCTGGGTGGAACTGAACATTTTCTTTGTCACCAAATTTGGCAATGGAACAGCTGTGAACTGCAGATATAGGTTTTTGTGTCTGTGGTGTGTGTGTGTGTGTGTGTGTGTGTGTGTGTGTGTGTGTGTGTATGTGAAGGAAAAGAGGTGTGGTTCTGTGAAAAGGCTCTTCGGTGGCTCTTGATAATAGATGAAAGACTCAAGCCACTGGCATTTAGACACAAATAATGAACGATTAAATCTCTTTCATAACCACCATCCTCTGCCAACGTCTGGGTGTGGCTTGTTGGAGGGGAGTTCACGCAGTGGCTGCCTTGTCCCATGCCAAGTGTCAGAAGCGCAGCATTACCATGCAAGTGAAGGCCTGCCTGCAGCCCTTGCACCCAGTGAAGTGGGTGTCTAAGGTTGTACAGGGCTTCAAAATGTCTCTGAGTGTTTTATTT